AAATCCCAGCAGCTCCAATTCCCCCACATTGACAGTTTGGTGTCCTCTTCCATGATCTCAGTGTGGAATTGAGCTGGAAAGGCACTGTCCCATCCCAGCCTATACTCTAAGGGCCACTACCCCTGGAAAATTCCCTTTCCACAGGAAAAAACCCAGCAGCTCCCATGCTGGGCTAATCCCTGACAGCAGCTCCTGGTTTTCCTTGGGATTAATTCTCACACCTGAGGGCGGCCCTGGCAGCACCTTCCCCTTTTCTTTCCCAAATAAACCTTCCTGGCTCCTTCCCAATGGATCAGCCCCTGGGGGTCTGTCCTGGGACACAGGGAATGTTCTAGGGGGCTGGGGTCACACAGTGCCATGGAGCCTGATCCAGTGCTGCCCACGCTGTCCAGGAAGGGGATTTGCAGGGATTTGCAAGGATCTGCAGTCTGAAGCCAGAATAGGTCTGGGCTCAGTGCCTAAATCCCCTGAGCTGCTTAGCCTATGGCGTGGGAGCTCTCCCCTGCTCCAGGGGCTGTTCCTGGCTGGATAGCCCTCTGTCCCCCTCAGAATCTTTGGGATGAGGTGAGGGATCTGGGGGGTGGGTCTTTTCCAAACTGCTCCAAGGGTTATTCCCAGCTGGATATCCCCTGTCCCCCTCAGAACCTGCGCTGGCGTGATTCCATCCGCTTCATCTGGACAGAAGGCCTCCAGACCCTGTTTGTTTTCCAGAGGCTGGGTAAGGAACCTCGGGAGCTGGGGGGGATTCCTGCACCCTTTGGGGGTGCAGCAGGATCCCCCCTCATCCCAAATCCCTCTGCAGCTGCCGTGCTCTATTGCTACTTCTACAAGAGGACAGCAGTGCACCTGGGGGACCCCCTGTTCTACCAGGACTCGCTTTGGCTGCGCAAGGAGTTCGCCAGTTTCCGTGGCTGATGGATCCTGGGAATAAAGGAATAAATTGGATATGTTTTCCAGCGTTTTCTGGGTGTTTGTGCCCGCTCTGGACCTCCCAGTTTCCTCCCAGTGCCATGGCTGCTGTCACAACAGCTGTGACCAGCTCAGCAACAGGGTAATGGTCATAGAACCATCAAGGCTGGAGGAGACCTCAAAGATCATTGAGTCCAACCCTTACCCTGTCACTGCTGTTACCCCTAAACCCCAAACC